AAAAAAAAAAAAAAAAAAAAAAGTATCTGGTCTCAACCATAAACCAGATACATGTAGGGGGTCTGAAGTTCGTCGGACCTCTAGGAGCAAAAAATTCCGACCGGATTTTGGCAAAAAAAATCAGTTTTGATTTCGTTCAAAAAATATAATATGTCCGTTTTGACGAAATGGTTGTTAGGGCTCAATCAAGCGTTCTAGCTGTGAACACATGTGCATAGGCAATTGGTCCAGCAAGCGATCCCGCAGCGACCACCACGTTTGCTGCTACGTACTCGTAGCCACACAAAGTGAGGATGAACTCCCCGTGGGAACGTAAATGGCCCGTTAGCAGGGAGTGGCCAGCCACTGAAGCGAAGACAAATACTTCGAGGAAAGTTGCTGCACCCTCGAAGTATGTGAAGGTCTCCGACTGCTCTCTTCTCGGACAACCCGACCGTGCAAATCTAGAAAGGCGGTGTTACTCAATCCCACTACTATGGTCTGTTGTATCAGCCCACTCGACAAGCAATGAATTGGTCCTACCTTTGAGACAATTCATCCCACTGCCCGAGCAACAAACACGTCTACTACTGCGAGTATTGCACCCTCTGTGTTCTTTTCGGCTCATCAACGAAACGAGACACTGTGCAACACAACTCAGCGTGCACAATAGCGAACACAACGGTAGCACCCATGGGCGTGGCAAAACACAGTCAGCGCGTGGTAGGTGCACAGTGGATGCACAACCGACCAGCAATCCACAGTCCTGCACAGTGACATAGAGCGCACCCACTGGCGGGCCTGCCAACAAAACTAGTTATTATAGCCCGGCGTTCAGCTCATCGTGCACGACCTATTCGTCCTTCGCTGCTGCCAAGGTAAGTTATCGTTCGCCTCCCTCTTTTAGATAGCTCCTTCACGCCGTTTTGTCAACTCTGATTTTTTTTTTCCATCTTCAAACCTGCCTACGCCATTCGTTCTGCAGTTCGATCTCTAGGTAGGTGTCTGCTCTCCTCTCATCCTCTCCCCTTCACGGGTTCCGTCCGCATCCGCTGCCATGCACGGGCGGGTTCTGGACCGGAACTGATCACTCCCGTGAGCACTAGCGTGGCTCCAAATACCTGTACGAGCTCCACGACGAGCACTCTAGCTGAGCGCACTACTGGGAAGACTTTAATGATGTCGACCCCCACGGAGAGCAGCATGTCGACCTTGATCATGGTACAAAGAAGAGTGCGTTATAAGGGAGAGGACCTCCATGATTGTGATAGACGGCCCAGCTCCCGTACTCACCAAATGTACAAAATGAGAATGAATCTATCGCTATAAGGCGGCGAGATGCATCTACCAATATGCTGCCTTTGTAGTCATGAGCGCAGAGGACTGTAGGAAGGCTGCCTCCGTCGATAGTAATAGTAACTTCCGAATAAATCTTCCGCTAGAACGCGGAAGTGCACATTACTCCTCCAAGCCGCGCTTCTCCACCTCACATCCGTGCGCAGGCTTCTTTCTTTTTACTCTACTCCGACTAATTTTCACCTGAATCTAACCTCAAAAATAAGATCGCATACCAACAAAAAATCCTACTATGATTCTTATTCCACCAAAATCCGTCAAGAAGTGGAAATACACGATCACTTTCATTTTCTTCTCTTCTGGCTCCTTCGCCATCTCCCCGCTCATCATTTTCCTACTAACTCTCAAACTACCAACTCACCTGCTAATCTGACTCCAGATTCGGATTCACCCTCCCCCACAACCCCCATTTCGCATCCTATCTCACACGAATTCGTCAAGGATTGGGTGAGATCCAACTTTCTCACTCCTTTCACTTTCCCCCTCCGCCATATCCCCACGCGATATCTTTCCCACTACTTTCCTATTCTACCATCTCAGAGCCAAAACTAACCCTGCCAATCGGCTCGCCATGCGTCGAGACCTGGAAAACGAGCTTTCACTCGCTCTTTTCCATTGAGAAACGGGCATGAATCCCTGGCTTCCCCGTTGCCATGCCTGTTCTGCAATTATGCTCTGCACGCACTTGGCGCCACTTTCCATCCGGGTTCGTCTGCCCGTTTTGCCACCCGTTTGGCTCCACTGCCTTCCCCTTCACTGCCTGTCCGCTCGTCGTAGTGTACAACCGTGTGAGTTCGATAACCCCGCTAATCTAGCGAAAGTTGGAGGCAAGACAATTACTAGGAGACTTAGCTCACTTCTGTAGCCATACGCATGTCCCTCGGATGATTCAGGAGTCGGTGTTACGGCTTGTCCTTCGATACAGTCTACTCCCACTTGCCCCATGTGGACCTGACTCATCCTAATGGCCAGGTTCCACTTTCTCCCTTTTTTTTTCGTCCGCCTCTCCATACCAGCCCCAATCCGACCACCTTTTCCTACGCTGGCGCAGTGCTCAATTAGCGTCAGGCTTCCCTACGAAGCTTTGAGGGGTCGGCCCGTAAGTCTCTCGCTTCTACTCCTCGGCTGGACAACTGATCCTGTAGGCCCGTTTTCACTGGCCCCTCTTCCTCTGCGTGTCGACTGTAAGTGTTAGTGCTTCAGGCCCTTCTCAGAGTTCCATTTGGCCCTGCACAACTACAAAGTCGTGGGTGTGGGCTTAGGTGCAGATCTTGGTAGCAGTAGCAAGTACCCCCGACTCGGTATCTCCCTTCCCAACGTACAAGGCACAATCCATCTCCCATTGGTACCCCAAGATCATGCTCATACTCAAACAGCTTACCGCTGATAGCGGGATAAGGCGGTACGTCCCTCAGTTGACCCCCTCCTCTACCGTAAGTCGGACTTCCCCCCGACTGGTTCGACCGCCATCCTTCGCGTCTCAATAGGCATGGACACCCTCAAACTACACACTAGCTTTCATGCATGTCGAATTTCATCGGCTCATACTCCCGAACGGTGGAGCCAAAGGCCCTCACCGGTCCCCAGAACCCACAAAAATCCAAACGGGTTCGTTGGAGAAGACGCGTACTCAAGGTCCTCAACTATCGCGACAACCTTCAGTCCGGTGTCGCGTCTAAGTCAAAGGATGTTGGGCCATAAAAGTAGTATTATAAAAATAATAAAACATTTAGGAGTTTTTTAATTGTGCGACGATGATGGACGAGGGAAAAAGAAAGTGTTATTACTGTTCTAACGCCACCGACGATAAAACCAAGGGGAATAGTCCCGTCGGGCCCTCAACCCCTCCGTCCCTTTGTACTTATCCTGATATCCCCGCGTCGTCGCCACTCAGCCTCAATCCCTGAATCTCTCTGATAAAATGTTGACGCTACAACCGCTAGTGCTAGGCCCAAAGCTGGGTCTAGTGTTGGTGGACACCTATATAAACGCATACTGTGCGACGCGCGAACTCACCAGAATGTTCTAAATATCGCACCGTTGTCGACGTCACCCTCCGTTCGTATGCCAGGCCATTGGTAAGCGCAATCGGTCAGCGAAACATAATCTTTTTAATCCTAGGTTAATCAAAAATAACAATTTGGGCCGGCGACCACGCCGGTTCTTCAGTCATCAACAAAACAAAAGGATCACGCGCACCTCAAAACTGCGCGCCCACACACTCTCTAGTCTAGTTAACCATCCAGTCAACCAAACCAAAACTCAGTCGCGCCTCGCGCAGTATACTTAGACTTTAAACCAAAATTATTTTATGTCACCTGCAAAACCCAGAGCGGATACCCTTGTAAGGGTATTTGCACCGACAACGCTCCTCCTGCGCCCTGCGTGAGAGCTCCTGTGTGATCTGGCAGACGCACACAAGAAGTTGCGCTCGCCTGCCATCCAACCTGCCCTGCCTCTGCAAAGCCATCTCTCTCGGGGGTCTTGTGTCGTCATCAGTCATCGGCGCATCGCTCCCTCCCCTACTCCCTCCATGCCATGAGAAGGGGACTTGCAGGAGTCTCACCAGGAGGCGCCCCCAAATCCCCCAAATCATTGAAAAGATGTGGTGAATCCCGACCACCATCCACACGGACCACACCCACTGCCGTGTGTCCCCCCCCCTCACGAACTCTCTCAAATGCTCCGCCAGGGTTATCCACCCCTCGGGGCAACTGAAGGTGGCCCGTCCAATACCAGACGTCGAGCATGCACTTCGGGGTCCCTCTCCAATATCTGCATCGTGGCACTCCCCCCAACGTGATCGCCTTCCGCGACGGTGGAAGCACGATCAAGGAAGGATGTCGGCCTCTCCCCCTCCCTTGGTGCACCTTGCAACCCACTCCCACCTGCTGATTGTCCCGTCATCCCCAACACGTGCCCCGACGAAGGGTCCACGTCCGCAGTGTGATCGCAATCCCCACGCTCCACTGGACTGCCATACTCGCCCCACAAATCCTCCACTCCCTCTCTGTCCCCGAAAACATCCATCTCACCGCTGTGTCTGTGAACATCTTCAGAGTCGCTCCAATCGCTGTCCCCTCCATCACCACTGTCGCCCGCATCCCTGACATCAAGATCTGTGCGCTGAGGAAAGTCCTCGTCGTCATTGTCATCTCTCGGGTACCGTCGCAGTCTCACAAAGTGGGCGCTCGTGTGTCGAAAGTGTCCTCCACGGGCGTGGGCTCTTTCGAGCCACATAAATCTCTCTGCCACCGACGATGTTGTTCCTCGCACTCCTCCTATGTCCTTCTCCCATTGGTCCCCTCCCACATAGGCTTTGTCCCGATCCCTGACTCCAAATCCAGCAGCGACTCGTCGCGCGTCCACATCAAAGCAAATTTGTGGCCTACGCGCTGGTGTGCAAGGAGGCTCATGTTGGTCGTGATCTCGACCAACCTTGCAACCTTCTAGAACTCAAGCCTGTTTCACTTCTTCGTGTGAACGCTCTTATGGACGGCCCAATTCCTCTTCGCAGGAGAGGAGCACGTCCACATGTGCATCACACGAAGAGCGATGGGTTGGAGCTAAAGGGCACAATGTCCATGCTTGGACCACCAATGTTGGTCTCTCTGGTCTTAACATCGTCGACGCACTTCCGTGCATCTCGCTGCCCATTCACACCACCCCAAGCTGTTGCGCCACTACGCTCATGGAAATCATGGAACTGATCGCACGCTCACGAGTACAAATCGCTTGTGGCATCCTTACCGCATTGGGTGAGGATATACGCCTCCGCCTCTCTCACCAATCTGTCGTGGTACAAATTGACCACGCCACTGAAATACCTCATATCGCAATGGGCAGGGCATAAAAGGAAAGCGGCGACGTGTGCTGGCTCCAACATCATCTGACACCACTCTTGCACCTTCTAGAAGGTGCGTTGAGCCAAGGCAGCCGGCCGGACTCGGAGCTCCCTCGCCATGTCAACCTACAGTTGTTGTGTCAAAGGCACAATGCATGACATGTGCATACGACCGTGATCTAACTGCTGCAGCAGATCGTAAACGGGATCGATGATGCGGACCAATGTCTCGATCGAGTCCCATGGACTGCCACCATCTCCCATGTCTCACCTGCCACCTCACCCATCTCGCGAGCCTGTCAATATGTGTCCCAAGGGACAAGACTCCACCTCGCCGTGTCGACAGTCCTCTCCAAAGCCAGCCCCACAGCCACAAGATGCTCCAACCTATGAATCCCCCGCGGCCGCGGTCACCGCGGTCATGACTGCGGCGACCGGGGGCAAAAACGGGCCACCGCGGCCGAGGGGGGAGGGGTGTGGGGAAGAGGGTTGCGGATTGGGGTTCCTGAACCCCGACCCCACCCCCTTAAACAGAAAAAAGTTTTAAAATTTTATTTTCGGGGGGGTGGTTTTTGGTATGTGAAACAAAAATTAGAAGAAAATAGAAGAAGAAAAAAAATTGATTGATTGATTGATTGATTGATTGGTGGGGGAGGGGTCCTCCCTCCCCTCCCCCCGGCACACACACACACACACACACACACACACACACACACACACACACACACACACAAATGGCAAGCCCGCGGGAGAGAGGGGGCGAAGGTGTGACAGCGGGCGGGCGCAAGTGGCGGTGTATAATTCCATTTTCTAGCGGGAGATTCATTCCATTTTGCTCCTCTTGGTGGAAGTACCATGAGCCCAGCCACGAAATTGGAAACTTACCTGTTCTCTCTCTCTCTCTCTCTCTCTCTCTCTCTCTCTCTCTCTCTCTCTCTCTCTCTCTCTCT